AAGCCGAATGCACTCCACCCACTAATCAAGCCGTCTATGCAGAGGTCACTCAGAAGAAAGCCCTGGTGATCTGCTTAGGACAAATCAGCCATTGAGAAACCTATGGAGCCTAGTTTTTCTCTGATACCCATTAGATCACCATGAGTTGGAATAGAATTCACAGCAGCCAGTTTATGTGTTGGGCACTGTGATCTCAATAGTGTCTAAGCTACGTGGAGATTTGGGTTGCTGATGAAGGAAGGATGCAGATACACAGGATTTCAGAGTGGTTGGAGGACCAGAAAGGGGACGGATTTGGACAATCGAGAGGAAGGAGTCAAGGAAAGGCTGTTGCTGGGCAGCAGAATCCAGAGCAGAGAGCAGAAGCCATACTGCAGCCGTGTCTGGTCTTTGCAAGATCAAGCAACCACCAGCCATCACCACCACCCGAGAGACATGGCCCCAAGGTGTCTGAAAGAGGATCTTTCTGGTGTGGATTCTGTACTGGGAATTGGCACTGGCATTCATAAGAGTATATACAACTGGAGAGTCCCTCAAATTGAGAATAGATTCCAATAATGATATACAAACCCTATACTAGATAGCGGAGCCCTCTTAGCATAATTCATAAACATTGTACTGATAACTGCAAGGTCAGCAGTTCAAAGCCACCAACTGCTCTACAGGAGCAAGATGAGGGTATTTACTCCCGTAAAAAGATACAGAAACCCACCCACAAGGGCAGTTCCACTCTGTCCAGTCTGACTATGAGTCAGAATTGATTTGATGGCAGTGAGGGTTTTTTTTTTTTATAACTGTATAGCATTTTCCCTAAAAGAAAAAACAAAACCCACAAACAAATGCCTACTGTGATTCATCCCTTCAGCTGCTTCATACTCACATACATGCTGCTCAACCATACTCATGCTCCCAAGAAGAAAACGTTGTCATTTAATGCCATGCAGCCATTCACCTCAGGGGTGTAAACGGAACAGGCACCTCCTCCTTGAAGCATCTTCTCTCTGAGATCTTTGTCCGTTTGCTTCCCAGACGTCCTCTGAGATGAGCACTGAGGAAGTGTGTGTGTGTGTGTGTGTGTGTGTGTGTGTGTGTGTGTGTGTAAAGGCTACAATGCTTCCTATGATTCGTGGGTCTGAAGCTTGATTCCCTTATGGGCCGAGCAGTCTCAAACCACTGTCACTTGGACATCTTTACCAGCATAGCTTCCTTAAAAAGGGAGCTAGCTTTTAGAGTCTATTTGCTTCCCTGGGCTCAAAACTCAAACTCGTTGCCATCGCTTCAGCACTGACGCATAGCCACTCTACAGGACAGGGTAGACCTGCCCTTGTGAGTTTCTGAGACTAACTCTTTATGGGAGTAGGAAGCTCTGTCTCTCTCCCTTTCTCCCTTGGTGGTTTCAAACAGCTGACGCTGTGAAGCATAGCTCACCGTGTAACCACTACACCATCAGGGTTCCTCTCATGAACCAGTAACCCAAACGGAAATTATTGCTGCGTCTCAAAGTTTGGGCTTAGAATCCAGTTTGAGAATTTGTCTCCTGGCAGGTGGACCTGGCGTTGGTGTGCTGCTTATCGCCTCAGCTCGCCCACTACTAGAACTTCCTCGGGGAGAGTAAGAAGCCTAAGAGGCAGTCGCGTGGGCTGGGTCCCCAAAAGTGCTACATAGTCAGCGTGGGGGTGCTTGTAGATGTCTTTTCTGCCCTAGGTGGTGCTTGGGATAGGTCGCGTCGACCTTGCACCTCTCACCTCCAGGCTGAGCGACTCCTTTTAGTGCCCTATGTGCTGTCTGCCCTCTCCGGCTGGCCGTACCTGCACAGCCAGCTTGCCTATGTGTTTTTTTGTAAACCCCTAAGAACTGGCCACCTCATGCTTTTGCATCGAGACTCTTTTTCAGATGCTCAATGTTGCTAGGCCCAGGGCCCGACTCCTAAGAAGAGGCCATAGTTTAATCAGCCGTTTCACTATTAGATCTGGAAGGTGATCATCTTCCCAGTCCCCGATGGCAGGCCCTCACCCTCCACCCTGCTGCCTCTGCTCCGCCTTTCCGCCCTTTCTAGCGCATTCCTGGTAGCACTCCGCTTCCAGGTACCTATTTGGTGAGTTGCTTTCTGTTTTGTCAACCGCAGAGACCCCAACTCAAAGAACTCGAGCAGTAAAGAGAACTGATGGCTTCCGTGATGGGAAACCTGAGGGAGGTGGGACAGGGGTCAAGTGCAATTTGAGCCAGAGGTTCCTGGTGCCGACCAGAGTCCAGCCTGGATTCTGTTGTTTTCTTGCTCTGCTCTCCACGTGCTGTCTTCTGTCTCAGGACCGCAAACGTGACTAGAGCAGCTCCCAGTCTCTTGTCTGGGAGCCATACCATGGAGGTGGAGCGAACCCGGGTCCCCGTAGATTAAGCAAAAGCCTCAGGCTCAGGCACATGCCCAACTCAATCAATTCCTGAGGCTGGGAGATGGGAATATGTTGGATGTGTTGGCCTAGAATCACATGGTATGTTTCTGGAGCTTCCCTAGAACAACACGGATTTCTATGAGGTTCTCTGTTGGTATGTCATGTGACAGCTACCAAGGATCCTCTGGGCTCCAGGCACATGCACATTCTCCGTGTAACCCCAGAAGGAGCCCTGGTGGTGTAGCGGTTATGAGTTGGGCTGCAATCTACAAGGTTCATAGTTCAAAAACACCAGTAGCTCCGAGGGAGAAAGATGGGGTTTTCTCCTCTTGTGAAGAGTTACAATGTGGAAACTCACCCAGTCCTGCAGGGTCGCTATGAATTTGCATCGACTGGATGGCCATGAGTTTGGTTTGGGTTTGGGAACCCCCGGTGATACCTTCTGATGGTTTGTGGCAGCATTGAGTTAGCAAGAGATTATGGAATTTGCTACTGTGGTTAGCGTAGCTCCTTCAGAGAAAACCAAGTCCATCCCATTGCCTAATGGAAAGACTGATTTCACTGAGAGCAAGCTGAACCAAACTGAGACGGGTGGTGGTGGCTACCTAAGGGAGCAGTCCATTTGCAGGAAGATATGCAAGTACACCCCTTGCTATCTTCTAAGTCTTCTAGTTTTACCTGGAGAATGAGAGTCGTTCTTTCCTTCCTCAAAGTATCTAGCTGCAAGGAAAACAAAACAAAACCAAACCTAGAAAAACCCAAAAAACAGAAAACACTGGTTAAATGACTAGGCTGAATGAATGCTGATAGCACCAGTTTGATTTGTTTTGCTTGTGTTCGCAAAAGCTGCATTGCAGAGTTTTAAAATTCTTTACCATTTACCTACAAATCAGCATTGAAACGCCCTCCCCTAGCCCCCATTTGGATTGTAAAGTGAGGATAGAAGTGTGAAAGGTAGTATCAACTTGCTTGAACTTTGAGTTTGAAAAGCTGGTGCTTCAGGCCTAATTATAGAGAAAGATTGGCAGCTTAATTATTGTTACTTGCGGTGAATCCACATGGTCTTGCTGCAGCTGTTTCTATAAATAGACTCTATATACAGAAATCTACTCTGGGGCTAAGTGTTCCCATTCAACCACCTTGCTTAATTCAAATTGCTGGTTTGAGGTGGTTATTTTTAAAACCCTTCTCAGGTTGACTTCCCCCTTAATCCCTAAACCTTCTTCCATCATCTGCCAAATTACATGTAATGCTTCACAACTAGAGTGCTTTTGACATTGCTTGAGTCTGAGAACCTGAAATTCGATGTAAACAACACAAACCAAACACTGCCACTGAGTCCGTTCGACCCGTAGCACCCTTACAGGACCGAGTAGAGCGGCCCCTCTGGGTCTCTCAGACTGTAGATCTCCATGGGAGTAGAAAGCCTCACCTTTCCCCAGTGGTTTCGAACTGCTGACGTTGCTGTTAACAGCTTACATTACCCACTACAGTAGGATGCGTTGAAAAATTTTTGTGACATGAAAAAGGATTTTGAGGTCAGGACTAATAAAAATTTTTTAACCAAACTCAAGTGGAAGTCATGGAAGCTGCGCACCAAGGGGATGAGAACGTGTGCACCACCAGTGTTCAGATCAAGCGTTCAAATTGTAGACGGCTAGGGAGAGCTCAGAAAATGAACCCAGAGAGGGAACACAGGCCGTCTCGACCAAGGAAGAAACGAAGTTCAGACACTGGTGGGAAGATGGCAGTAGAATGACCGTGGATGCACTAGCTGTTGGAGCGATTTCCATTTCTGCATCTTAACACCAGGAGCCTGGATGGCTCAGTGGTTAGAGCAGTTGGCTGCCGACCAAAAGGCAGGTTGAATCCATCCGTGGCTCCATTCCACCTCCGTAAAGATGTGGAGCCCCGGAGACCAGTGGGACAGTTCTGCTGTGCCCGACAGGGTTGTTATGTGTTGGAATCAACTAGGCAGCAGTGGGTTCAATTTTTCTGTTTATCATACAATGAGAGTCATGATACCAATTTCTACTTCATAGAGTAATTCTGTAAATCAAATTAATGAATTCATGTGATGTTCTTGGTGTGGTTTTGATGTCTGGCAAGTGCTTAATGACCTTTGTGATAAGTTTCATGGCAAAGTGGATTCTGGACTTCCTCCTGGAAACGTGACTGGGTAGCGTCCTGAGGAAACAGGCTCCTCGATGTCAAGGTCTACCATGGGGACATAGAGGTGGGAGAAAGGTGGGGTGGACTGGATTTGCTGGAGTTTTAAAGCTTGCGGTTCAGGAGAGAGAAAGGGCTAAAGAGGAAAACAGAGGCTGGGGCTTCTTAGTGGCGCTCTCTGTCGGTGGAATATGCCTAGGAGAACGAGCCTGAGGGAAGGAGGAGGTTCGTCTGTGTCAGCTGGTTGGCAGATGGAGCTCTCCTTGCTTGGCAGGGACTGCCGCCATGCCATTGGGCTGCGGGGAGGGGAGGTTATGACACTTTGTGGGGCGGGTGAAGGCCCTTTAGATTTACCAGTGTTTCGTTTCGCTAGTGGTGGTGAGACTGAAGCACGGGCTAGTTTTGCTCCTTTCCATTGACCTCTTTTTCTCTTCCCGACAGCAGGAGACTATGGCCAAAATGGAGGTGAAAACGTCCCTTCTGGACAATATGATTGGAGTTGGAGATATGGTTCTTCTAGAACCTCTCAACGAGGAGACCTTCATCAACAACCTCAAGAAGCGTTTTGACCACAACGAAATCTATGTGAGTGGGCACAGCAGGTGGCCTGTGATATTTAAACAGACTTTTTTGTGCCACAGAGACGGCTTTTCTTCTTTAGACTTTTCTCTCTTACTTCATCAATATCCAGGGTTTCACCCTCAGCAAGAGTTTTGTTTGCTGACTTGGCACGTGAGTCATATCGGTTAGAGGCAGGCGAGTCTGCTTTCCAAATGGCATTGGTGGAGTGCCGCCTGCATGCAGCGTGCTCTGCTGAGGTGGGCGCATCCTAAAGCAAGCAGACTAGTTCCTGCCTTCTGAAGGATGTAGGTGGAGAAGGAAATTTGAAATTTGCAGACCTCTTCCTGAATGCCTTCCTAAAAACAGGAAAGTCTAGTTATTGAGAAACGGCCAATGAAAGTACCTGTTAGAAAGAACTTGAACCTTCTTGACATGTGAAGTCTTTAGGGACAGGAGCGGATCACCAGATAAGAATGTGTTGTTGAGGTTTTTATCTGTTTCAGTACTTTGTTATTCTTGTTAGTCTGCATGTTTGGTTTTTAATGCTTTTCTGTATATGAGATCCGGAATAGGCAAATCTAGACACAGTAACTAAATTAATGGTTCCTTGGGGGTATGGCAGAGGAGTTTGGGGGGAAATGGGGAATAATGATGAGTATGAGAATGAAGAAGATGTCCTGAAACCGATTGTGGTGATGATTGTACAACTCCTCATGATGTGGTTGAACTACTGAATTATATGATACCTGGCTTCAATGCTAATAAAACCATTGGGAATATAAAGAATATATGTTTGAGATTTGAAGATTTGCTGTAAGAACATAACGATGTCATGTGTCAAAACTGAAGACATACAAATAGATAACATTCATAGTGGAGATTTTTTTTCTTTTAATTAAAAGGTCATTTTATTGGGGGCTCTTACAATCTTTAATAATCCATATATCAATTGTAGCAAGCATATTTGTACATTCATTTCTAGACATTTACTTTCTTTTGAGCCCTTGGTATCAGCTCCTATTTTCCCCTCCCCCTCCCTCCTCCTTTGTGACCCCTTGATAAATTATAAATCATTATTTTTTTCACATCTTACATGGACCGCAGTCTCCCTTCCCCCATGGTTTCTGTTGTTTACCCCCGGAGGGGTATGTATGTGTGGCTGTGTGTTGATCATTGCGATCGGTTCCTCTACCTCCCCTCCACTCCCAAAGGTAGAAGAGGGCAAGCTTGATGATGATGCAAGAGGAAGGTGAAAGGAATCAGAGGAATGATCTTGGAAGCAAAGCTATGGATGGATGCACATACCTATGTAAACACATTAATCCATAAAAATAGAGGTATTGGCCTTTGTACATATATTTATATGCCAATGCACTGAGGTAGTGGATGGACTTCGGCCCTTCCTCAAAATGCCAGAACACCTTGTTCTGACAACCTGGCATTCTGTGATGCTCACCCTCCCGGCACAACCGCTGAAGACAAAGTGGGTGCATAAGCAAATGTGATGAAGAAAGCAGATGGTGCTCAGCTAACAAAAGATATAGCATCTGGGGTCTTTTTTTTTTTCCCAAAAAAATCATTTTATGGGGGCTCTTACGGCTCTTATTACAATCCATACATATATCCATTTTGGCAAACACATCTGTCCATATGTTGCCATCATCTTTTTCAAAACATTTTCTTTCTACTTGAGCCCCAGGCATCAACTCCTCATTTTACCCCCTCCCTCCCCCACCTGAGATTTTTATAAGAATTCTTGATAAAGGATTACACTATATTACTATCAGCTTTTCTAAGTATATTTAAAACATGAATATGAATGTCTTTGCATGCAGCTTTTTTAAGGATTTGCATTGTGGAAATGGAGGTATGCTGTTTGTTAAACCAAGGAAACAGGACAATTGATTCTTTGTTGCAGAGCCCGAGAAGGAAACAGGATGGATTGGATAGAAATAGTTTTTATAGAATTTTGTTTTGTTTCTGAGTTCTGGTATGCATCCTCTGCCCCTTATAATACATATCTGAGCCTTGAGAAAAGTTAGATCATTGGAGCATACTATGTATATGTGTGTGTGTGTGAAGCTTAAGAAGGAATATACCTAACTAAGAGGGGAAGTTTGTAACTGATTAAGTAGGAACCATCATAACTTTTTCAGAAATTTTATTTTTGAAAATACAAAAGTGCACTACTTATGTCACATGGTATTTTTCCTTTCTAGAATAATTTTGGGTAATTGATTTCCTTATGAAATATTTTCCCATCATCTGGGAATTGAGGATTTGTATTGTTGGAGGTAGGGGAAGGGTGACTGTTACATGATAAACGTGGACACTGCTTGCGTAATACTAGTTTATCACTGCCCACCAAACTGACATATAGTTACAGTTCAGAGATGTGGCTCTATAAAGTGCTGATTCAAATGGACAGGAATAGAAACCACTGTTACTGAGCAAGGAAACGGTATGGTTTGGTTTGGTAGTGAGGCTGGGTGCCACCTTCCTCAAGTATACAGTTCAGCTTTCAGGTGGGAAAGCTGGAGAGTTCTGCAGCTTTCGTTTAAAGTTTGGTCCCGTATCAAACAAAAGACAGACTTTAAACATTGGCCATTGAGATGGAGATAGGAGGAATCAATTATGTTGTCCTAACTCACGTTACTGATCATTTTTCTTTTTGGCTCTCACGTGCACTTCACTCTGAGATGGATTGAAAGTAAGATGGCGAGTAGAACATTACGCATGCTCAAATACCTGGTTTGTTGTGACCGCTGAAAAGAAAACAATCCCCCTTTTAACCAAATGCCAAGTGCTAACATTCATGAGTCTTTAGCAGACGAAATGTCTGGGCTTTAGTCCTGCCTAATTTTATTTTTTAAACTATTTTAAGAATGCTCCTTTCTGCTCCAAAACAAAAGTAGAGATTTGCCTTCTGTGCCCAAACAGTCACATCAGTTAACATTTTCCACGATGGGTTCGGGCTCCCATTTCCATGAGATAGGCCTGTGGCTCATTTCATAATCTTAAAAACCCACTGTGTTGGGGGTGGAGCACACTCGATATTACATGGAAAAAAATGAAAAGAGGCCGTAGAATGCATAGTGTCTTCTTAGTGTTTGTGGAAATGACCAACAGGTAATTTTACGAATGTGTATACTTTTATACACTTAGAGAAAGGCTTGTGAACTGTAGATTCTACAGTGGGATAGAGAGTGGGGGTACAGGAGGATTACTTTTTTATACCTGTGTCATATGATTCAGGGAGCCCTGGTAGTACAATAGTTAAAGCACATGACTGCTAAGTAGAAGGTTGGCGGTTCAAACCCACCAGCTGCTCTCTGGGAGAAAGCTGGAACATCTGCTTTGTAAAGATTCAGTAGCTTTGGAAACTCTGTGGGCCAGTTCTGTTCCCTCCTCCAGGGTCAATCTGCACCAGAATCAGCATGAGGGTTTTGGTTTCATTATGATTCATTCAGACAAGCATGTATGGCTTTTGTAATTAAAATAAAACAAAGCAGAACGCCTGTAAGATAAACTATCAACCCCTCCAGCGCTACACACCATGCAAGACTACCCTCGGTAAACGTGTTTCTGCTTTTCATTCTCACAGTACTCCTAGTTTGCTTTTATTCAAGGATTCTTGCACAATTGTTTAGCTTGATGCCAAAGGCTAAGTTAATATGACACGGAACATTTTACTTTCTTGTACTTTACTACATTTTAAAATTCTTTCCCAGAGAATGAATTCCCAGCAAGGTATTCCCCCACCCCTGGCCCCGCAGCCCCCCCATTTTTTAAAAAACTTTTTTCATTATTTTATCGCTTTCTCCTAAACTGTGAAGTAAATGGTGGCTTATATTTAGAAGCCATGGCTGATAAGAGACTGAAATGGAATGGACCCTTGACCGAGGCCTTTGAACTCTGGTTATGCCCAGAGCCTCAGAAACCTCCTAGGTGAGCCACCTGTGACTCTGCCGGCCTTGCTCTTCCATCCGACCAAGCCTCTCACCTGTACAGAGGCAGAATTACGAGTCCGTCCCTGCTTTTACGGAGCTGCCCCAAGGAGTCAGCTCCCTGGGATGTGAGTTCTCAAGTCTCTATAGCACTTCTCGTTCCTGGTGATCCCGTCACCCTGAACTTGTATCTCTGCCCAGAACAGGGTTTCTGTGGACCCAGCCAGGGGTAGTATTGGTAGGGTGAGGCTGTGTTTGTTTCAAGTCAGCAGACACTCAACCCAGTCTGGTCTAGGCAGCCAGAGGAGTTTTGATTCATTTGTGTACCTGGAGGTCGAGAAGTAGTTAGCATTTAGAGTTTGGTTTTGTGGCTCAGCCTTGGCAGCAGCAACTTTATTTCTTTTTCTCTGTCTGCCTTGCCTTCTGTGGCTGCTACCTGAGGTTTTGTGGTAGCAGGATTCACATTCGTACTCCAGCCCATGCAGGGGAGAGAGGATGCTTCTGTCCGAGCACTTACGGGCCTGAGAGCTACCCTCGGCTGCCTGCCTGGGTCACAGGTCCACCTCAACCAACAGCTGTGGCCCAGTGACTGGAATGAGCAGAGTGGCGTAAGAGTGCCGTTTCTACTAGACTTGGGGACAGGTCAGCTTCTTCCAAAGTAGAAGAGATGCGTGAGTATATCTGCTAAAAACAAAGCAAACAAACAAAAACCTCCAATCACTTCCCTCAAGTTGATTCGCATTCACAGCGACCCTTTCATCTGCTAGGAAGGGGCACAGGGTGCTGAAGGGGCCCCAAACAAAGCCCCTCACGGGTTTGGCAGATCATTCTGCGCCCGGCAGCTGGGTTAAATGCCCAGTTTTCACTTAAACGAGGTGTCCCACGGGAACATTTTATCACTGAAGGTCCATGCTTCGAATCCACCCAAAACTGTCTTCTGGAGCTTTCCTTCTGTGGAAGCCCTCACGGCAGAGAAGGTGTCCCAACGATGTAGTGGATCGGCTTTAGGGACGTTTTATTGAAATCTTCGCTTTCCAAGTCAGCTAGCGTTCTCTTCTTGGGGTTGGTTTGTCTCCC